TGAGGAAGCCTAACCATCCACTGGAAATGAATTGGATAAGCTGCCCTCAGTGGAGTCAGAGGTCAGGTCAGAGCAGGTCAGGTTAGAACATGAGAAGGTTGGTAAGCCCAGTCCCACACAGTCAACCATCACAAAAGTCTGTGCCATGAACTTCGCAGAGTAGGTTCGCCTCAAGGTTCAGTGGAGCCTTCAGTGTGTCCTTAGCCAAAGCTGTTCGGAACAAATTGTGACATTGGACACCAGGAATGATTTCAAGATTGCAAAGGAAGAGCTGAGATAAATGGAGCTAAGAGATGTATTGATTCATTCTTTGATTCCAACAACCGATGCCCACTCACATGTTACTCACCAGATGCCACATACACACTTAGCCACATGCACGTTCACACTCTCACATGCATCCATTTGGTGCCTGCCCACGTCCACTGCCAAATTCCATACTCCAGGTAAAGGGAGATTGTGTGGTTTCAATCTCTTCGGCTATGAAGTGGCTTTTCCTAGAAAAGTCCAGTTTTTGCCTGCTAGTCCATCACCTGATCTTGGTAATGGGGGTGGGGTGCCCCTTCACTGGATCACTCAGACAATATGCCAGGGATCTGCTTCAATAGGCCAGATCATTACTTTTTGTTCTTTCTCTCTACTTTTTTTTTTTTTGAGACAGAGTTTTGCTGTTGTTGCCCAGGCTGGAGTGCAATGGCACGATCTCAGCTCACTGCAACCTCCACCTCCCAAGTTCAAACGATTCTCCTGCCTCAGCCTCCCGAGTAGATGGAATTAGAGGCATGCACCACCATGCCCGGCTAATTTCTTGTATTTTTAGTAGAGACGGGGTTTCTCTATGTTGGCCAGGCTGATCTCAAACTCCTGACCTCAGGTGATCTGTCCGCCTCGGCCTCCCAAAGTGCTGGGATTACAGGAGTAAGTCACCGCGCCCAGACTTTTTTTTCTTTTTTTTGAGATGGAGTCTCACTCTGTTTTTCAGGCTGGAGGGCAGTGGTGCGATCTCAGGTCACTGCAACTTCCGCCTCCCAGGTTCAAGTGATTCTCCTGCCTCAGTCTCCCGAGCAGCTGGAATTACAGGTGCCCGCCACCACGCCCAGCTAATCTTTGTATTTTTAGTAGAGATGGGGTTTCACCATGTTGACCAGGTTGGTCTCAAACTCCTGACCTCGTGATCTGCCCGACTTGGCCTCCCAAAGTGCTGGGATTACAGGCATGAGCCACCGTGCCTGGCCTGTTGTATTATTATCTAGTGAACTGAATCCCCTTTCCTCACATCTTACTTTTATATCCTAGGAGTCCAGTGCTTACTTTTAACGTGTCCAGCAACTGCTCAACACACCCCAGGAGAAGCTGGGTTTTGCTGATTCTGGTTCCTGACTTTTGGGCACCTCCAGCAACCTTCGATAACTCCCTTCTCTCTCTACACACACACACACACACATACACATATGCATGCACACATACACACACACACACAAAAAATCATGATTATCTTTATCTGTTCAGCTCAGATAGAATTAAATCCACATTTGGGCCGGGCACGGTGGATCACACCTGTAATCCTAGAACTTTGGGAGGCCAAGGTGGGCAGATCACGGGGTCAGGAGTTTGAGACCAGCCTGGCCAGAATGGTGAAACACCATCTCTACTAAAAATACAAAAAAAAAAAAAAAAAAATTAGCCTGGTATGGTGGCATGTGCCTGTAGTCCCAACTACTCGGGAAGCTAAGGCAGGAGAATCGCTTGAACCTGGGAGGCAGAGGTTGTAGTGAGCCAAGATCACACCACTGCACTCCAGCCTAGGTGACAGAGCAAGACTCTGTCTCAAAAAAAAAAAAAAAAGAATTAAATCCACATTTTACAAGCATCTTACAAAATGGGGCCTCCCCATCTGAAGTGCATACAACTGGAGCAGGAGGGGCACATTTTTGTCACAGGTGAAAAAAACAAAACAAAAACAAAAAAAACAAAACTAGTGGATATGGTGGTTTAAGTTTAATGAATAAATGTAAATTTATTTTAATGCATTCAGGTGACTATGTCATAATAATTTGTTCAATATACTGAGTGATTTTAGGCTAAGGAAGGATTTTTTCAAACGAAAGGGTTTGGATGGACACTCGGTGACTCTCTAATATATACTCTCCAGAGGAGGTAAAAACAAATACGTGAAGGTAAAGCGGCAGGATGGGGGTGGGGAGAATGTGAGGCTGTTGTGTGCAAGGAAGGGCGGGTATCCATACTGAAACTGCAGAACTAAGCAGGTGACAGCTGCACACCGCTCCTTTCCCTGGCCGGGCTGCTCCAGCTCAGTGACATCACAGACTGTGACGAACCCAGACGTATTTGGTGGAAACCAAGCCAGAACCTCAGAAGCAGCGCACAATTTGGATAGAAATGAGTTATTTTGGTTTCTCTTCCCTAATACCCGCAAAGCCCCTACACTCCCGTTATCCTCGCAGCCCCTGGCTGGCTGTGTCCGACCTAACAACTTCTCATCCCCTGGTTTCAGAACATCCTGGCAGCAGAATAGAGGGCGTTGGGGGGCGGGGCAGGCCAAAACTTTTTGGGCTGCCCCACCCATGCCTTTCCGGTTAGCGTTGCAACTCCTTAGACGAGTAGGCTAACCACAGCCCACCTGCCTTTCTTCCAGCGATGAAACGATCTGTTCGCCGGTCAATGCTACACGATGTTCAAAGCCCAGAGACTGGAGGGGGTGCGCCCCGGAGGCCCCGCCCAAAGAAGGGCAAGCTTGCGTGCTCGCGGCGGCGGCGGCCATCTTGGACTCGGGCAACCGCCCACCTCTAGCCTCTATGGCATCGGTCGGGGGCGGAGGCGACCCTGCACTCTGGGCCCCCTGAAACTGTGCTCGCAAGCCCCACATTGTCCTCCTGCCTCCACGTAAAACTCGAGCCAGTATCCTGGTGGCAAGTCTTCACTACTTGGGTGACTGAGAAAGCACCCGTTTCCTTTTCTGTAAATAGTAGTTTGAGCACCCCCACTCCCGTCTCCATACCTATTATTTGGGCAGATGATGAACTCTCAGCATAAAGCCTGGCACACAGTACGTGTTCTATAAATGTTGTCTGTGAGCTTTTCCTGTACACTGCGGGGTGCCTGGTAGCAACCACCTTCCAGCCACCACTGCCTGCAGCGCCGCCTTCTCCCTTTTCCAAGATTGCATTTGTACTAGACTCTGAAGACCTTGTGGAGGGAAAAGGGGCTTGGCAAGCCCTCCCCAGAAGGGTGAAAGTAAAGCTCACGAGTTCTCTTGGACTTGCATGTGACCGTTCTGGAAGGGCGTCAGAAACACAGACCAGGGTGCCCAGGACTGGAAAGACTGTAGATTTTGGAACATTTCAACGCCCCCATGCTTGTTATTTTTATCACCCCTGGCTGCGTCCCCATAGGGACTCCCAAGCAGCATAAAACTAGAATGAAAGCCCTGCGTGTGTGCTGACTGTGGAGACATCATGAAGGGGGAGCTGGGACATTGTGTCCCAGGCAGAGCTAAATGTAGGGGAGAAGGGCCTTTTGGACCAGCGTGGGTGGTAACCCCAGGCTGGGAGAAGAATTCAGCCCAGGTCTGAGGTGGCCTGTGGGGGTCCTCAGATATGTGCAGCTGCTCCACCAGCTCCATAGCTAAAGGATCTTCCAGATTCCCTAAAGGGTGGGAAACTGCATGAAACCCAAAGAGATGAAGGAAGTGCATGGGGAGGGGCTGAGGCCTTCCATCGGGCTGGGGGCTGCAGAACCATACTCAGACCTCTATGGGATTCTGGGGGCCTAGTGTGAGGTTTTTTCAGTAATAAGCCAGAAGCGTGCCAGGCACGCGCAGGTTCCCACAGTCTGGCCTGATGCAAAGAGGGGTAGCAGAGAATACAAAAACTACTAAGTCAGGGTGAGGGGATTGCACAGTTTATTTCCAAACACTCAGAGGATAGGGGGTGGCCTATGGGCTCCATCTGCCCCCCCCCCCGCATTTGGCTGAATCAAGAACTTCTCCCCCCTCTCCCACAAGACCCTAGGCTGTGCCCAGTAGAGAAGGCACTCTAACCCCTACCCTGAGGAGAGACCTAAACAGGTGAGGAGCATGGAGGGTGAGGGGACAGAGTTCAAGTATTCACAGTTCCCCCATCTACACCCCTGGATTACACTGTGCCAGAGCCATGAGGGAGGATCCCACCTCTGGGATTCCTAGTGGTGTTGATAGTCCTCCCACTTAAAACCCTCTAGATGAACTCCCTACTCCTTTTCCCTGAAATAACAAACCAAGTCCTAAGCCCTGTAGTCGAGGCAAGGAGGGGCCTTAGCAGGCCACTCAACCAAGGCCCCCAGGGATAGGGTGAGGTCCTTCACCTGTAGTGAATGGGTTGGGACAAGTGTCTATAAGGCGAGAGGAAGGGAGAGAACTGAGAGGACCTTGAGAGGCAGGCTTGGAGGCTTCTGACACCTAAGTTCAGACAGCTCTGGTCTGCGACTCCACCCCACCCCACACCCCAAGCCCAGAATCCCTGAGAGTCCAACTGCAAAGGCAGTATGGTCGGAGGGAGGAATGGGAGCAGGGGGAGAGTTGGGCAGGACCTTGGCCCCCCTCTCCTAGTAGGTCCTGCTCCTGGGACACACGATGCTTAGGGAGGGCCAGGACCAGGCTCAAGTCCCAGTCCCAGCTCTTAGGCTCTGATCTTCCATAACAGCTGAATCCTGGGGAACATAGGGTATACCCACCAACCCCACACCCTAGACGTCCTGGCCTCAGGTAGAATGGTGGGAATAGCTCTCACAGGGTATTATAAAAGCTAAAACCATGAAACACTTTCTGGGGAGAAGTGGCTCCCAGTCTCTTGCCTCCCCAAGTTATCAGTCTCCCAGCTCCTAGCAGACAGGGCTAAGGAGGTCCCAGAGAGCCGAGGGAGGAGGCCACGGCCCCTGGGCCCAGAGAGGGCCCACTAGCACCATGCAACGTTGAGGCGCCTCTGCAGCCTGACTGGCCCCACACAGGGGACCTCCAAAGCTGGAGTGCACACTTGCTAAAGCTTCTGTACTCTTGAGGGGGGACCCCTGCAAGGGAGCGGAGAAGGCAAAAACTTGGCTTAAGTCCAGGCAGGAGTCTGAGCTGGGACCCCAAAGGGCACCCTTGGGAGTCATGATTTGAAGAATCTTCGTACCACAAACTGGCCCAACAGAACCACACCCAGAACCACCAGCACGTTCAGGATGGGACCATTGCCCAAGTTCAGGGCTGCCACCTGCCGGGAGAAACAAGGTGGTCACAGAGAGGCTGGCAGAAAATACAGGCACCCAGGGAAGGGGCGGGGCCTGAGAGAGGGGCAGCCCCAACAGCAGGGAGAACATTGCAATCCTTGGATACTCACCCAGCCACCCCTCTGTGCAATCCACCGGGCAATGCAGTGATGCAGCATGAAGTCGACCACGAAGCGGGTCACCTGGCCCAGGAAGCCAGTCAGGCCGTGCTGGTAGACGTGTAGGGCCAGACGGTAGCCGAAGCCCAGAAGAGCCACCACACGGCCCCAGTTGATGCCACTCTCAAACAGGCTGTGGGTAGAGCATCCCATACCGTTGGTAGAGCCCCCAGGGAGCCCTTCAGCCTGCCTGGCCTCTCCCACCCCTCTCCCAGCTGAAAACTAAATATAGCTTGGTTGTGAATTAAGGCCACAGAGGCTACCCCAGCCTGGCCTGTATTTGGGAACAACCCGGGTCTCTGCGAAAGGAGAAAGCTCAGGGCCAGATGAGCTGGATGCCACTGCTGGGGTGTACGCTCAGGTGCAGTGGGGCACAGAGAGGGCAGAGGACAGAGTGAGTGGATGGAATCCGCGGGGAGATTACCTGTGGGTGTTGCTGCTGGCCTGGCAGCCCGAGAGACGGCAGAGAGAAAAGGACAGAGAAGATTAGGGTAGTTCCTGTCATCACAGTGGTATGAAGGCTGGCCTCTAAGTTCACGGGCTGGATATTTCAGCTCTGAGCACTAATTCTAAAATCCATCACTCCTATCTTCACCTCCCGCTTCAATCTACCCCGACACTGACCTCCCTAACTCTGGTGGTAGCAATGGCTAACACTTTGTAAGGAGGACACTGAGCTAAGCATATTTTCCCTATTTTACAAACCAGGAGACTAAGGGCTAGGAAGTTTCACAAAGGCAGAAGGGCAAAGCTTGGATTACACCCAAATATTTGGTGTCTTTAACCACTTGGATGCCAGATTATAGCAACTAGGAGCCATTTCTAGGACCTGGCAGAGGTTAGCACCCTTACCATCTTCAGTGTGATATGTGGTGTCAAATTGGAACCATGAAGGATAGCTGTGTCCCAGCTGGGCCGGGGAGCTGTGGGCGACATCCCCACCTCAGGCCCCCTCTAGAGTCCTGATCTAACCAGTCAAGTCCTTGGAGTCAGAGATCAAAAGAGCTGTGAGCTAATGCCCACAAGACGAGTCTGGGACCCCGAGAGAGAAAAACAGGGGGCTGAGACCACATGTGAGTTCACAGCAGACACTGGACACTGACAGAAGGCATCTCCCCATGCCAGGAGCGCATCATGCAGGCAGGGTATGGTGTGGTTGTGACAGGACAGAGGAGTGACTGGAGCCGGCAGGGGTACCTGGAGGCAATCTTGGTGAAGTACTCATAGGCGTTCTCTGCCGTGGGCTGCAGGTGCTGCAGCATGGTCTGGAACTCTGAGTCATAGCGTCTGTTGATGTCGTCCCCGATGATGGCCAGCTGCCGTCCCACCTGCCCCATGGTGCTGTAGGAGCAGGAGGCAGGCAGGTGAGCGGAACCAGGCAGTCAGGGCCAGGCCTTGGCTCATGGCAGAGGGGTTCTGCCTGAGCTGTCCATGGCCCTGTGCACCCCTTCTTGGAGGTCCCCGACAATGTTCTAAGACACGAGTGTTGGCCTCTGGGACAAGGGGCGGGCATGGGCTAAAAAGGATACAAGGTCCTGGATGGGGGTGGGAGCCCAACATGAAAGAGGAGCAACCATGAGAGAAGGGCAAGACCCCTCAGGTCTCCCCAGCTCCCAGGACCTGCACAGAGACCCGTGCGAGCCACTGCCTCCCTGAAGATGTCCTTGTGGGCCCAGCGGTTGTAACTTACCTGCTAGGTTGCAGGGGCAAGGTGTCCATCTCTGGGTCGGCAGGGGCAGCCGCCCCTTCAGCCTCCTGTTCCTGCTGATGGCGGTAAAAAACGTAGCTGCGGAAAACCTCCTCTGTGTCCCGGGCTACCTGCTCCTCTGAGGATCAAAGCTGGGAGTCAGGGAGAGAGGGCCGAACCCTGGCAGCCCCATGCCTTATAGAGGGTTCGCTCTTCCTAAGGCCATAGCTGTCCTCACCCATGGAAAGAAATATCCTGGACGGGCACAGTGGCTCACACCTATAATCCCAGCACTTTGGGAGGCTGAGGCGGGTAGATCACCTGAGGTCGGGAGTTCAAGACCAGCCTGACCAACATGGAGAAACCCGTCTCTACTAAAAATACAAAATTAGCCGGGCGTGGTGGCACATGCCTGTAATCCCAGCTACTCAAGAGGCTGAGGCAGGAGAATCACTGGAACCCAGGAGGCGGAGGTTGCAGTGAGCCAAGATCGCGCCACTGCACTCTAGCCTAGGCAATAAGAGTGAAACTCTGGAAAGAAAAGAAAAGAAAAGAAAAGAAAGAAAAGAAAGGGCCGGGCGCGGTGGCTTGGCCGGGCGCGGTGGCTCAAGCCTGTAATCCCAGCACTTTGGGAGGCCGAGACGGGCGGATCACGAGGTCAGGAGATCGAGACCATCCTGGCTAACACCGTGAAACCCCGTCTCTACTAAAAATACAAAAAACTAGCCGGGCAAGGTGGCGGGCGCCTGTAGTCCCAGCTACTCCGGAGGCTGAGGCAGGAGAATGGCGTAAACCCGGGAGGCGGAGCTTGCAGTGAGCTGAGATCTGGCCACTGCACTCCAGCCCGGGCTACAGAGCAAGACTCCGTCTCAGAAAAAAAAAAAAAAAAAAAAAAAAAAAGAAAAAAAGAAAAGAAAAGAAAGAAAGATAATAAAAGAAAGAAAAGAAAGATCCCTACTTCAGAGCCTTAGCCGCCCTAGAACTTATGCTGTGTGGAGAGTTGTTCCAGCACTTGCATTGGGTCCTCACAGTAGCCCTGGGAGCAGGCAATCTCCAGATTTCAGGGGGAAAATGACACAGGGTGTCTAACGTGTGCAAGATCATATAGCCAGAACAAGCCGGGGAGCTGGGACAGTCCCGGGCATTTGGGCTCTTGAGTCTACGTTAGTACATCTTAGCTCCGCAGCCCCTTTGTGTGCAGGGAAATGTGGAAACAAAATCTGAAATTGTAGCCTCAACCCAGAAAGTCACACAGGGAGATAGTGACAGACCTGGGAGCTGATTCCCAAGTCCAGGGAACAGCCCACGTGGGGTGTGAGCTGGGGCTTCCCTGGCTGTCCCCTGGGAAGAAAGAAGGAGGGCAAGCCACTTACTTCCCTCCCCAAGTCACAATAATTGCGTTCCCTGTTGAGGCAGACCTGACTGGGTGATTGGCCAGCTTAACTTCCTTATTTCTCCAGCTGGAGGGATACAGCAGCCAGACCTCACTCTACTTCCTGCCTCCCTCGCCCTGACCCCGCCCTCTGCTCCGGTGGCACTGTGCCCACCTTACACTCACTTCCTGGCCTCTCCCAACCTCAGGCCCTCCCCAGTCCAGACTCCTCCCCTCCCAGGCTTAACCTGACAGCAGCTTCAGCCTCTGAGCCCGTGGGTTCCCACCCACAGTGGGTGAACCGAGGTTGAAGGAGCCTGCCTCTGAGTCCTGCTCCTCCATCCTTATGAAGCACTCATGGTTATGGGATGGGTGAGGGCAGGAAGACCCTTACCAGAAGCAGAGGGGCAGGGCAGGCTCTCCGCATTCCTGCCTGGGAGGACCTGGGCCCTTGTCCCGAAGCCATTTTTCAGGTCTCAGTGGAGGACGGGGTCAAGCCTGCGGGGGATGGCGAGAAAAAGCAGAGATGGGGTGAGCATGACCTGGACTGGGACCCAGACAGGTTGCCATGTCCACATAGAGAGAGGTTCCCCATTCCCAGAAAGCCCTCATCCTCTGGGGACTTTGCCAGGCTGGTCTCAAACTCCTGACCTGTGAGTCTGCCTCTGCTTTCCAAAAGTGCTGGATTACGGGTGTGAGCCACTGTGCCTGGTTCCTCTGGGACTTTTTATTCTCACTCCAGCATGGTCCAGTGAAGTCTGCTGGGAGGAAACAACTTCTGAGCACTTCACTGGTGACCCTTCGAGGGAGACAGGGTAAGAAGGTGAGGCAAGCCAAGGGCAGACTGAGGTATCTGCACCCTCGAGGAGAGTGTGGCTGCAGCAGTGCCCGCTGGCTCTCAAGCTCATACCACTACTGGGGCAAGAGCCTGGGGGGTTTTAGCTGTTCCTGGGCCTCCTGCCAGCCCACCTAGCACATGCTTATGCAAGCGAGCCACTGCCAGCCAATGCCCATGAAGGCTGCCCTCAAGAGGCCCTACTTCCCTCTGGCTGGTCAGAACACACCTGTTTTTTAACTCTGGGCTGTTAGCCGCAAACATTTCCTGAGAGCCTAAGATATACTCTCCCACTTAGGAGCACTCTGGGTGTTGAACATTGAAAACTCACATGAACCCAGCAGGGTGAGCACCATCATACCCACTTTGCAGCCTGGAAAAGTGAGGCATAAAGAGTTGAGTGCCCGAGGTCACATCATTAGTGACGGAAAGTCGGGTTGTTTGTCTGAATCTCCATGAGTCCATGTACTCAACAAGCATTTAAGATTTCTTCTTGTGGCCGGGCGCGGTGGCTCAAGCCTGTAATCCCAGCACTTTGGGAGGCCGAGGCGGGCGGATCACAAGGTCAGGAGATCGAGACCACAGTGAAACCCCGTCTCTACTAAAAATACAAAAAATTAGCCGGCGCGGTGGCGGGCGCCTGTAGTCCCAGCTACTCAGGAGGCTGAGGCAGGAGAATGGCGGGAACCCGGAGCGGAGCTTGCAGTGAGCCGAGATCGCGCCACTGCACTCCAGCCTGGGCAACAGCATGAGACTCCGTCTCAAAAAAAAAAAAAAAAAAAAAAAAAGATTTCTTCTTGTTTGTGGACCTCAGAGGGTGTCCCTTCTCAGGGCAACTTTCCCTGTTTACCTCCTGCCTGTGCCTTCCTCACCCCTGCCTTGCAGTGACCGGAGGGAGCCCTCAGGATCAGGGCCTTCTTCGAAGCCCCACAACCTGCCTCGTATTCCCACCACACACCTAGTCTTCTGTCCCCAGCCAACTTTCCTCTTTGCCTGGTCCTGACCGCAGCACCAACGTGCTGTGACCCCTCATCAGGGCGTTTCCTGGATGTCAGCTGTTTCACTTTCAGTTTGCACCCCTCCCAGAGCCCCATTTCCCCAGGCACCCTCCGGCCCTCAGAAGGAAAGCGCCCTCCTCCTATCTCAGAGGGAGGGGGTGTGCAGCCCCACCCTGGGCCAAGCACACAGCCCCACCCCCACCGGCCAGGGGCCTGGGGACCTTCGCCCACCCTCCTTCCGCTAGGCCTGGGAGTGTTTCGAAACTGCCCCAAGAGCTCTCGAGAAGGGGTGGAGGAGGACTGGACCACCTGTGCCCTCACCCAGCTCCCCACTCCTTGCTCTGCCGGACACGGACAGGCGAAGGCAGACTCTCCTTTCCTCCACCTCTAGGGCAAGGCCTTGTTAAAACAGAACTTTGCAGCCGGGGCACAGTGGCCCACGAGGTCAGGAGTTCAAGACCAGCCTGGCCAACATAATGAAACACCGTCTCTACTAAAAATACAAAAATTAGCTGGGCATGGTGGCGCACGCCTGTAGTCCCAACTACTCGGGAGGCTGAGGCAGGAGAATCGGTTGAACCTGGGAGGCGGAGGTTGCAGTGAGCCGAAATCGCGCCACTGCACTCGACCCTGGGCAACAGAGTGAGACTCTGTCTCAAAAAAACAAAAAATAAAACCCCCACCCCCCCGGAGCTCCTTAAATAAGATGGCCTTCCTTCTTCCCCAGTCTCCAGACCCAGCACCCTCAGGACAGTAGGGCCAGAGGATGCTGACGGCACCCCCAACTCCCTCTACCAACAACCCAGGCTCCTGAGGGGAGCAGGTAGAGCCTCAGGACACCCCCCAAGGCCAGCAACCTATGCTGACTCAGGCCTAGCTCTGTCCCCAATCCAAGTGGCCTAAATTCCCGTGAGGGAGCCACCCCCGACTTCCTGGGCTTGCTGGGCCCTGATGAATGTTCCCCAGGGATACATGCCTGGCCAGGCCCTGGACCCAGTCTAGGGATGTTGGGCAGCAGGAAGCGCTGAGAAAGTTCTCTCTCTGCCCTTGACCTTGGCTCTGACCTCCACCCCCATCTCCCAGACTGTTAAAGGACCCAGTTCTCACAGTTCTCCGGCATCCAGGCTGGGGCAAGAGGGGAAGCTGTGAGGGGCAGCCAGAAGTAGGCTTGCCACGATCAGGTCCCCAGCCGGGCAGGCGGACCTGCCCAGGTAAGCTTTGAGCTTCCCCTTCCCCACCCGGCTCCTGGCAGGCTCCCTGCCCCACCCTGGGGCTGGGGCTGCTGAGATTTGGGAGGACGGGCAGGACCCTTCCAGCTTACCTGCCAGGATCCTGGCCCAACCCGGGTGGCTCAGCAGGGCAGAGAGAGAGGTCCCGAGGGCTGGCGGCTGCTGCTCCCAGGGGCTGAGTGGGAGCTCGGCTTCCAGGAACAGGCGTCAGTGCATTCCTGGCATCTGGATGTAGCCTTTGCTTGTCCCTGTGCTGCCTGAGGGACCCGCGAGACTCCAGTGATCATAGAGGTGCCAGCGGCAACCGGCTCCAATCAGCTCCCTCTAGAGGAAGTTGCTCTGTGGCCACCGGATGCAGACACACAGGCCTGCAGCCCGGAGGGGTGATCTGGGTGGGCCAGGCCCAGGAGCAGCTCCGCCCACTTTCCCCACCCCACCTCCCAGCCAGGCAGAGCGGCTGTCAGTGGCCCACTGCTTTTCCCATCCCTGATTCTCAATCCTTGTCTTTGATCTTCTCCCCCATCTCTACATCAATCAATACCAATAAAAAACCCAGGGTGAGAAGTTTCTTAAGCACTGCTGCATGCCTGGCACTTTAGCAACTATTGTCTCGTTGGATCTTCTCAACAACTCTTGTAAGTGAGTGCTGTTGACAATACCCATTCAGATGAACAAACAGAGGCTCAGCTGGTTTAAGGTGCTCTCTAAAGGTCACTGAGCTGGGTTAATAATCAGTTCTGGGCCGGGCGTGGTGGCTCATGCCTGTAATCCCAGCACTTGGGGAGGCTGAGGCGGGCGGATCACTAGGTCAAGAGATTGAGACCATTCTGG